TGTAGAACATTGTTTAAATAACTAAGAGGCTAACAAGTAGTCTGAATTGATAAAACAATAATAGTTATTATAAGAGGAACGATTAAAATAATAATCAAGCACCAAACATGAATCCCCACGCACTGAAAGGTAAGATGACCATTAGGATTATCCACCTAAGAGTAATTTTCAAGATTATCCACCTAGCTATAAGGAAAATAAACTCATAAACTATAATCGGCCTAAAGAATATGATCAGCCTAAATGCTACAATAGATGGGCATTCAGGATTAGTATGGATCTATACTCGGAGTAATTTTTTGAAACATAATATTATGAGTTTTTTAGGATTTTGTATTAGAAGTGTTTAACATAAATTATTTTTTCTCCATTGTTTTGTCTTTTCTTCTCTATTGTTTTTATCTTTATCTCAGTAGTTTATTTCCTTTCCTCTCAATGACAAACTCCTAACAATAAGTTGCAATAATTATGCCAAAGCTTCAAATCTACATCTGCCTATGCATTTGAGTTTTAGATGATTGCTATTAATATTTCATGGGATGATATAGTTTTTAAGGAACAATTTTGGCTTGGCCTCCATAATAATAAAGATTTCACATAGATCTAATATCACTCATGATTGCTATTAATCTTGCAAAAATGTCGACTAAAGCATTATTTTCCATTAATGGCCTTAGTCTTTAAGCAACCAACACATGAATATGGCACAATTCTAATGAAGATTGGAGCCATACATCAACGATATTTTTCAAATACTAAATGACAATGTTAGATTAAGAATTATTTTTGCATGTATTGTGGAGATACAAACCACTTCTAGGAAATACCATTTTTGTTAAAGTAGGTCTCATTTAGTATTTTAATCACTTTTCTAAATTTTATACTTATATTAGATTAATCATGTTTAATTAGATATTTAATTAATATTAATCTAGAAAATGTTTCTTTAAATAAAGTATACACTACTAGTAATATCATAAATTAAATGTTTTTACAATGTTGTAACTTCAAATTTTGATTGTATGTTGCCCAAGAGTAGTCATTAATATAAACATGATGAGCATAATACATTCTACCATCACCATCCAAAATACTCTTTATATCAATTTAAGCTTTCTCTCAAACAAATTTTTAGGATATATGATACAAATGATGAAAAGAATGATGGTTTCTAAGAGATTTGGGAAAATTAGAAGAAAATAATAAGAAGGTAAATATACCTTGAACTCAAATGTTACTGAGACAAAACTGAGTAAAAACCAAAGATAAACTCTCCAATATGAGCAAAGTTGTTGATGTGAGGCAAGATGCCCCAAATGATGAACCTTATTAGAATAGATGTATAAGGTTTGAGAGCATTAGACCAAAGAGAGCCTCCTAACACTTTAACAGAGATATAGTCCTAGATGAATGTGTATAGAAGGCTACTCCCAGAACTAGATAAATATCAACTTACCATGCTTAGATATATGTTGATGACGAGATGGTAAATGTTTGTGAGCAAGTGAAACATAATTGCATATAACCACATACAAGAGATTAGCCATGATCCATAATGCACTTTTTACCATTGTTATAAAGTCTAATGCCCCATATTCTTTCAATCTATAAATAAAATTATTTTTGTTAAAGTGATACTCACAAATTAATTTAAGACTCTCAAAGTAATAATAAAATCCACCTCAAATCACATATCCATCTCCATTAGGCACAGCATCTACTGATTTGGTTCTTGGACACATGACCAAGCTCCTCCGCTACTGCTGCTACTGCCACTTCCGGAAGATCTTGCCTCTCAATCCAAAACCCTCAAATGGTCGCACCCCACGGCCCTGCTTGTGGCACATGAGGCTCCATGGAACTATCCATGGAACTCATCAACGCTGCAGAAATAACTCCAAAATCGTCACCAGTGATTGTTGGGCATCCAGACAAGATGCCCACCACCAAGGAGGAGGCTGAGGCCAAGTTTGAGGCTTACAGACTCTAAGATTCTCAAACTGTCTTGCTCTATATGGCGTACCATTTGCACATACAAACTCACTAAGTAGGCAGCTACTTCAATTTCTATACAGTATAGTATAGAGACTTCTTGACTTGATGTAATACACACTGATCAATAGCCCTTGGAACTCTTTTTTAGTGATCACTCTTTCAACAAATGAAGTTATAGTAGAATATGGCATGGAAAGCACTATAGCAATTGCTTTCTCCACCATTTGAATGTATTGCGAAGCTAAAGGGGTGTAAAGGCAACATGGTTGGATGCAACCATAGCTTCTTGGAGGAAACGCATGGCAGTAAGTGAAACCAGCCAGCTCCTCTGGCTTTGGAAACACTGGCAAGGCTTGTTTACCTTGCTCAGAGATGTCCACCCCACTCCACTTGCCACTGCTCTAGTCGTAGGCCTTGAGCCTGCCATCCCAGAAAAAAAAAACTCACTGGCAAGGCCTCCCGTGGGAGGCATGTCTCTCGCTACCCACGCCATCACCTCCCAAGTGTTGGTGCTCGAGTAGAAGGTGTGAAGGTGGTGGCGGCCACGGACCCAGAACCGGCACGCACTTGCAACCTTGTCTGGCTGTGTTGGTATGAAAAGTCCTGCTCAGTGTCATCCTCGAGCACCGGCATGGCGGGGAGGATGCGCTGCAGTCCAGTGACTGGGTTGCACAAGGTGGGCATCGCTGCAAAGGGCAAGGAGTGCGTGGGCCCTTGCTGGCCTGGTACCCAAGATGAGGAGCTGGTTGCCGTGGTGTCCAACACGCTCCTCCCTCGTCACTACACCCCCTTGGGCCTCATCTGCAGCCTCCGCAATGACTGGTGCTTCCGCGCGACTGTGGGCAAGTCACGCGCCCTTGTCTTTGTCTTGGTGCTCCTCTCCTTCCTCTCCTTCCTCTCCCTCCTCGGCCTCCCGCACCTCACCTCGCAATTCCCTCTCAATAGCTCTGCGCTCCATTGACCTAATTTTCCTGACATCATTGATAGGTTTTTAGACATGGTTTTTCTAACAAAAACCATGGTCACCTGTGAATGTCCTCGTGGCTGAAAATCAGTTCATACTGATCGACCTTAAGTTTGCATATCGGGTAGACATAGAGCACTTGTACAGTGACAAGAAGGAAGCAGCTGCATCTGATTGTCACAAGCTGCTTCCCTGCCTGCTGGAGTTGTCGTTGGGTTTGTGCCTCAAGGTTCAGGTGATTGTAGAAATGCTGGGGAAGTGTTGGGCCTGTTTGCAAACCACATAGTCTGGATCACGTACTCAGGGACAGACAAGGTTCTTCTTGCCGGCAGCTGATGGTTGCTTTCCTCTGCTGAGAATCTAAAGTTTATGTTGTCAGAATAGACACAAGAGTGTTTTGGAGGTCTGTGGTGGTCCATGTGGCAGAGGTACTCGCTCAGATCCCTTGCAGGTGACTGGCGTGCCTAGAGTGCCGCCCATTGTCCAATGCGACGAAGCATTACCCGAAGTTCAAAGAGCATAGTGGCACCCCAAGATTATACCTGCTATACAGGCCTGAGCCAAGCCAAGTGCTACAACCATCGTGACAAAGGTTGGGATATAGAAGTGCACATCCCTCCAATGTTTCACTCTCTTGTTTGCTAGGCCGGGCCGAATTGCTCTCACTCCGCACGGTGAGGAATGGAATCCATTTTACTCTTGTGTGAAAAGTACATAGTTTTTAAATTTACACTAAGTTTTTCAAACCCCTCAAGTAGTCCCGAATCAATTTCGACATGAAGACCTCGATGAAGCCCCATTTACTCTGCACCGTCTTTGTTGCGGATGACATCCCTGGCTTCATATGCCGCTAACGGTGGTTGTAGGCTCCACCCTGGAGAAGAGCAACAAGATCCCCAGCAGTCCCACTGGAAAAGGTGGGAGAATTCTCACCAGTGAGCCCCCCAAGAGAAGCCCCAGCACAAGCTTGCCACCGCCACCCACTCGTGGCTCCGAAACGATACTGCCCAGCCAGTCCTCCAGCGCCATGGCAAACCGGGAGAGCTCCAAACCAGCAGCCCACCAAGTTCATGAGCCCCACGCTCACCGAGACTTTGGTCGGAGTCACGGCGTCCTTCTTGGCCGGGAAGAGATCGCTCGACGGCTTGCAAACCACCACCACCGAGTTGAGGATGGTGAGAGGGAGCTGCGGGATGGCGGCTCTCACAAACCCCGTCTTCCAGTCGTGGGAAGAGATTCGAGCGATCCGTGGCGTGGCCGGGCCAAACTGGAGCTCCTTGAAAATGCCAAAGAGTACCCTCTTTAATCACGAGGACACAGAATCTACACTCACACTAGTTTCAAACAAGTGTTTGGAGCCAAAGCTCAGTGTGAAAAAGAGTAAGTAAAACTTCATAATTTGTTCTGTCCACAATCAATCTGAGAATTTTTCTGGACTGCAGAGGCAAAGCGGTGACTGCACCAGCTCAATTCTTTGCCTACATTGTAGCTTTTGGTCACTTTGCACTTTTGACTGTTCTAGAGCGAGAGAGGACGTCCTTATGTGTGTGGCCAGAAGAGAGATGCTACAGTCTGAAAAAGCTGGTTCTTATGTACAGTTTGAAAAGTTGGTCCCCACGAGTCCATTGAGGTTATCCTGGAGCTTGCACACGAATAGTTCAAATGGACGAGAGGAGAGAAGTATAATATGCACATAGTTTATATTTAACTTTTAACTATTCTCTAATTGTATTAATAAGCCAGATCTTCAATGTGCTTTTGTTTTTCGCAACTATACAGCTAAAAACCTGTGTGTGGCAAATTCAAGATGACATGCAATTAAAGCTATGATGCAATGGAATGATTATCTTGGTTCAAAAAGAATTCCCAAGTTTAAAAGACATTAGGACCACATAGTACTCAAAGTTTTGATAGTGTTGTGTGAATCTGATGTGGAGTGATTGTTAAATTCTCTCCCTTTTGTGGTTAAGCACGAGAGACTGCTTCAATATTATTGTTCAAGGGCATAGGAGAGCTGGGAGGAAGGCGGCTGCTCTTGAGTTTCAAGGCGGGAGTTGGGGACTCACTAGCCTTCTTGTCTCAATTAGGCTGCTTTGAAGAGATCTGGCGATGGAATCAATTGCAGACCTGCTGGTTCGGCTTTTCATGGTTTGCAGACTACAGTCTTTCTAGATCTGCTCAAGTTTGTGTGCCTTTTTATCATGGAGGTACTGCCCATCGCCACAGCTCGAATCTGCCTTTGCCCTCACCTATCCTCTCCACTTCTTTCTTGAGCCAATCTCCATTCAGATTTTTCGGCAGCGGCCGCGCAGTGGATGGGTGAAAATTTCGTTTCTTTCGACCTCACCTGGAAAGTAGAGGCCCTCTGCAAGCATCTATAATCTTTCGTCCCGATTTAGCCTTTGTGTGCTTGCCGCAATTACCATCTTTTTTTAGGCGGCATCTGCAGCAGGGGAGCCTTTTATAGTTTATGTGCTTTTTGCGACCTTATTCGTGAGGATATGCTGCTGTGACATCAGGCTTCATGTGTATACTCTGCTCACTCACACCAACGGCTTTCGGGAGGTTCTTCATACTTTTGCTTCAATTCGGCGACCGCATGTTGCGAGTGGCTATTCTTCGCGAGTGTGCAGGCTGGGTATTTCGCGCTATAGCATTTCGCGCTGACCATTCTATATTGCCTTATTTGGTCAATTTCGACACCTGGTGTAGAAGTTATGTCACGGACCCTGCCGAGCTGCGTACTGTGCACGGTCTCCTGGATATCTTCTGGGTCGAGCAACGTTTTTGAAAATTTCGACATGTTTTGGTTTCTGCAGATCTGTGTCTTGCATATGTGACCATTTTTGTACGCTTCTGCCGTTGGATGCAGCTGCTGCTATCAAGTTTGTTTGGGTGGCACCTGCAGTCTTCACGGGCTCAGCATTATCTTCTGATTGGTGCAGCGAATTGGACTGTTTCTGCTTTCAACCTGTAGCAGACAGCCTGGGCTTTGATGTGATACTGTGACATTTCGGATTTCAAGCTCGTGTTTTTTTTGGTGAACAGGTACTTAACATGCAACATGGTTTTCACTTCGTTATTGCAATCTGCTTGTTGCTATCATTGGAGGAGGAAAACAGGTGAGCTTCAGCCATCTGTTGGTAGTGGCTTTAGGCTACTTCTTCATGTCTTCTTCCATTTTGACGTGCGTATATGGTATGGTGGTCAGTCAGAGGCGGTATGTGGATTTGCATGAAGGACTGGAAGAATCTGTTTGTAGTGCAATGATTTGGAGGCTGCTTCATCAACAGATCAGTTTAATAGCCAAAAACAATATTCCTAAGACTTGCTTTGTGTACACTATTTGGTTTATACAAGTTTTTGGTGATGTCATTTGGTTTGAACAATGCTCCAGCAACTTTCCAGCGGATTATGGACAAGGTTCTTTATGATATGCCAGAGGTGACTACTGACTTCATTGATGATGTCTTGATTCACTTGGAGGGGACATGAGAGGAGCATATTCGTGATGTGTGTAAAGTGTTGGATTGGCTACGGGATGGTGGTTTAAAGCTGAAGTGGTCGAAATGCGTGTTTGGGTCCAAAGACACAACTTATCTTGGGTACCGTATTTCTCGTGAAGGTTCGCAAGTTGATCTTGACAAACTTGTGGCTATTTTAAAGCTCCCTACTCCAAAGTGTGTGAATGATGTTGTGAGACATAAATCCTTAAGCCCCAAAGTGGAGCCGAAAGGGTGCCATATGGTAGTGGCCGAAGCAAAAGCCAAACAAGTGTAACACGTTTGGACTAAAAGGCTTCAACTTGAAAGGTTGAGAGCGGGAGTGGAACTCCCAACGGAGTGCTCAAGGAACGAGCATGAAGCGAGCAATAAATGAGGCTCCAAAAAGGGACCCAAAAGGACCAACACATGACACATGGAAGTGTCCGAGATGGACCCGAGATGGAGTCCGAGGTGGACCCGAGATGGACCCAAGATGGATCCGAGATTGAGTCCGAGGTGGACCCGAGATGGACCCGAGATGGATCCGAGATTGAGTTCGAGACGGACCCGAGATGGAGTCCTAGATGGACTGAGACGGAGTCCGAGATGGAGTCTGAGATGGAGTCCGAGGTGGACCAAGACGGAGTCCGAGATGGAGTCCGAGATGGACCCGAGATGGAATTCGAGAAGGACCCGAGATGGAGTCCGAGGTTGAGACCGAGACCGGGACCGAGACCGAGACCGAGACCGAGACCGAGATTGGGACCGAGACTGAGGCCGAGGCCGAGTCCGAGTCCGAGTCCGAGTCTGAGTTCGAGTCTTAGAGGGTGAAAGCCCAAAGTGTTCGTCTCCCAGACCCTGGGGGGTTTGGTGAGCTCCAAAAGTATAGTAGGGGGAGGACTGCAATGGAGCCAGTTTGGCCAGGAAAGGCCAGTTTGGCCTAGAAAGGCTGTACCTAGTGTTGGGTGATGAGCTGCCCACTGGGAAGTCCAAGACTAGAGTGAACACAGACCGACAAGCGGGGTAGCTTGGTGAAGTGTTCAAGAGCCGGCTCTAGTTCCCCCGGGAGATCTACTGGTCGATGCTCCCAGTTCAAGTGTGGGTGGCACTACCTACTTGGATACCAGGCGTGGCTCAATGGAACCTCGCTCTAAACCCATGGCTAGAGCACCCAAAGGCAGAAGGCGGGGAGAGTATCCACGAGGCTTGCATAAGGCCACGGTGTTCTGAAATGTTGTCCTGAAGGCCCAGACTGTGGAAAGGAAGAGGAGTAGTGTTCTGGTGTGGTAACCAAGGACACAGTCACATAGTGAGGAAGTCCTAGAGGACAATGAGACTTAGTGGTCAGGCTTGTGGGCCTTAATCCAGTGGCAGTGTTGGCGAACACGGCCATGGACAGAAAGGGACTTGGTGGGGACCGGAAAGGGGATATTGGGGAAGGTTATTCCCTATGTCTAGGGGCATCCTAAGGTTGCTAAGGAGTGGATCTAGGATGATCACTCATGGACGAATGGCCCAGTCTTTGAGAGACGGGACTATGATACAGGTGGTGTCAGACCACCGATGTGACTAAGGTGAATGGGCATGGGCTTAGCGTAACGGGCTGATATGATGATGGTACCTTGGGGTGTCAGTCATGGGATCGGACACGTGGAGCACTTGGACCAAGTGCAAAGGTTGAATGGTGGGGATGCCATTCTCGGGGCTAGCAAGCCCAAGTCCAAAATAGGACTTATGGAGGTTATGAGTGAGACTCCTCTAAGTGGTTAGAGGTGTGGTTAAGTGACTAAAGTAGAATGGAAAATTTAGTCGCTTACAACTTGGTATTAGAGTTGTTCCTTAGTCTGACTTTTATTGGTGCTGAAGTATATCACCACTAGTGTTGGCATTGGAAGGTCCTAGGAGTGGGCTTGTCCTTGAGGAGTAGCAAGTCGGGAAGACATGGCTCTCCACTACAATTCACGTGTGAACTTGTAGGCAAGGTGGTGGATAGAAAAGGGCCAATGATGGAACGACTTTGGGATCTTGGGAACAGTGTAAAGCTTTCCTCATTGAGTGAGGATGTGATCCAAATGAGCATTTGATGCAACAAACAAGCTAACATAGTTGTGGTAAACAACTATAGTTGGGATTACGGGAAAGATGCAAACTCCAAAACAATAAAGGAGTTATAAGATTACCCTTATATAGTTGAGGCTGGTGCTCATAACTTTGAGACCGGAATTGATGACCATGGGAGGTCGAATACAGAAGAGGACACAAGTCTTCAAAATGGTAGCTGGGGCTACCTCTAATAAATGCTGGAACAACCCAAGGAGTTGGGGGTGTACTCGGAAGATGAGTTGGTATTCTCATCACATGGATAAGTGGTCCTAAGGGGCAAAAGGTTGCCCCAAAAGAACAAATCAAGTGTTGGAGTAACACTTGCAAAGATGGTCCTTGTGAGTAGGACCTGAATACAAGAAGTTGTATTCTAGTGAGCTAATAGCTCAAAGGTAGGACCTCACGGGTCATCGGATGATAAAGTCCAAAAAGCTGGATGACTCAAATAAGAGTCAAGGAATAATCCTAAGGGATTGGTTGAAACATTTGGACTGAAGTGTATGGTGCCCCATGAGGTATGGGGAGGATGATAAGATCCAAGTATGAGAACAGTAGATATCTCATTGATGGCAGAATGTGCCATACTAAAATTGTGGGAAAGATGTTCCAAGAAGAAAGCAACTTTGGCCCAGAGTTGGGTGCAAACACTATGGTGCAGTGCTAACGAATAGTTAGTATGAGGAACAACCATATTGGCCTTGGCAAAGACCTAGACATTAATAAGTAGTGTCATAAGGATAGGCTCGTGGGGCCAATGGTGTGGAGACACTAAATGTGCCAAGGTGTGATACCTTGAGGTTATGTTGGTGGGTTCATAAGAACCTCTTGCCAAAGGGAATCCCAACGGAAATGGAAATGGCATAGCCTAAAGCTAGAAGGCATGTGGTAGAGTGTGGTGACGAAAACAATGATGGAAGTGTGGAAGCACCAGCAATAAGTTATAGGACTTGACAACTATGAGGCAACTAAGCAAGAGGGCAGTTAATTGGTTAAACGGGTAAAAGGTAGCTACCCAAGACTTCTTAATGGCATAAAGAAGTAAAATATACCCTTATCAAGGATAAGTTGTTTATGTTGCGATATAATGAGTCAATGTCATAAAAGGAAATGCTCATTGTCAAGGAGGCCATCATTGGGACACCCAAACACTCTAGAACACTAGAAAGTGGTGTTTGGTGTCATGAGGGCAATGGATAATGCCTAAGGGATAAAGTCCCTAACAAATGATGGATAGAAGGTACTATCCAAATGTCCAAGGTTGCGGTGACGGGAGAAGTCTATCTACCCAAATCGAACAAAAGCTAAAGATGGAATTTTGGCGGGGCTAGTGATGGGCATATGAAGGCCCATAAGTAGCAACAGTAATCCTAGTATGGGGGATTACAAGGTGAACAAACCCGAATTGAGGAACCACTCCCTAGGTGGTTGAGTAAGTTCATCCTTATGAATACTTGCCAAGGCATGGTAGAAAGTGCAAAGCTATCTTCCTAGTCTGGAGGAGAATAACAAAAGGAAATGTATGAGGCCAAAAGGCATGTAGTATGGGGATAGAACCGAACCATAGGAATTGATAGGCATGACCAAGGGTGGTTATGCAAGTATGGAGTGGAGTGTTACTAGCGACCGGGATGCCATGGAGAGTCTAAAGCATGGGATTGTCCATGTTGGACTATATGGTAATTGGAAAACTTGCGAAAGGAGAGGCCTTAGCAAGCCAAAGAATAGAGTTCCTTGAACGTTCCCCTAGGTAGATAAGTACTTAGTCAGCCAAGTGTAAATGGTTCATAGGACGCACGAAATCAGAGTGGCGCAGCAGAAGCGTGGTCTTGAAGCTTGCCATGAGGCGAGGCTATCAAGATTGGGGAAGTAGTTCCCGAGTGTTCAAAAAGAGGGCTTTGAACAAAAGCTGATGGTTAGGGACTTTCACGCTTATGCATGAACTATGTTATGGTGGCCGAATGACTTGCTAAGTGAGATTGGCAAGTCGGGGGGAACGAATACCCTAGTTGAAGGAGCCAACTTCAAAGGGGTGGCCCAGGGGGCCGAGCATGGAGGAGTCCATGCATGATCACAAAACATGTCAAGTGAGAGGACTTGGCAGTGCAGAGGAACTAGGTTCCTAAGCTGTGATCTGTAGCGCACTTTAAATATAAATTGGTGCACCAGCGTGGGGAGTCACGCCAGGCATCCGGTGTGATGCTGTTCGTAGATGCATATACAGAGGTTGGGTTTGAGTCCCAACCCTCTAGTGCTTGGGTTCGATGCAACATGTATGTACATTTCTCCAAGTCCCTTAGGGACTGATACAAAAAACAAGAATCCCTTAGCACTATTCACTCAACTATGCTGTCCTGCAATTCTCTACCTAATAGTGACTGCTGCCCTCCAATCGTGGCTGCTGTGGTTGTCGCCTCCACAGTGCATCCAGTGCCAGATCACCACGTCGAGCCTCCTTTGTTACCGTGTCCGAAGGTCTCCATTTCCACTTGACCTCCCCCTCGTGTTCAATTCCGTAGCACGGAGTCCATAGTCGTCGCCAAGCTGTGAGCGCCTCCCTGTTTTTCCCATGCTCCTGGAGCAGCGTATCCCTCAAGCGGATAGCAGCCAGTGTGAGCCTCCACCAATTCGCCATGATCACTGAAATCCGAGCACATTGCCCTTCGAAGTGGTTGCGGTTTCGAGCCTCCCAGAGTGCCTGTACCCCGGAAGCCCGCCATACCTCCCATCTCGCCCGTCCAAGGGCCTCCCACACTATGGTCCCAACTTCCACTCCTACCACATCCCACCTAACTCGGGTG